TTATTTATAATAAATAAATAAATTTAAAGAAAAAAAAAGACTCTGCAATTCCACTACAGGGGGCAGGGGTTTGATCCCTAGTTGGGGAACTAAGATCCCGCATCGTGCACAGCATGGCCAAAAAAAAAAAAATTAAATTAAAAAGATAGATACATTTAATATAATAATAATAATAGCAGCTAACATTTGTTGGACACTCACCAGGAACCTGGCAGTGTCCTATCAAATCACTCACTCGATCCTCTCCAAGCCCTCTGAGGTGGGTCTTATCATTACCCCCATTTTTCAGAGCAGTAAATGGAGGCACAGGGGCTTGGGCAGCATGTCCAAGGCCACACAGAGGGGTGGGTGTGGTGAAGCCGGACTTCTAACAGAGCCAGCCTGGCTCCTAGGCACATCACAGCACTACGACAAAATGCTGACAGTGGTCATCCCCGGGTACTGGTAGTGGGGGACAAAGGCGGACGGCTGCTGCAGGGCCACCCAGGGCTTCTCCCCTCAGAACCTGAATCCTGTGCAGAGCGGCATGGAGGGATCACAAACGCGTGGCACCTGATGGTGACGCCCCAGAGAGGCTGCCTGCGAATTCCTGGCTCCTGGGAAAGGCTGTGTCCCCAGTCTGATGAGGCCTGGCTGTTCAGCATTCCCTTTTGTTGAGTGAGCTTTCTGATATCCTTCCAGTAAATTCCTTTTCTACTCAAGCTAGTCAGAGTGGATTTCTCTATTCTCTGACACAGGCTCACCCAGGGAGTGAATGAGGTGAGAAGCGTGGTGCGGCGAGGCCTGAGGACCGCAGACGAGCAGAAGAGGAGCCTGGGGAGGAGACGGAGCAGGACAGGCGGCGAGGACGGCCCTGGGCGCAGGGACCACAGAAGCTGGAAGGGGAGTGAGTTGAGGAGGAGGCCACGACCAGCGTCAGACAGTGCTCAGAACTCAAGCAACGTGAGAGCTGAGAAAGGGGCCGCTTGATTCAGCAGCAAGGAAGCCACTCCTGCCCTTGGCCAGAAGCGTTTCAGTGAGGACGGAAGTCTGGTTGCAGCAGACTGAACAATGAGAATCAAAGGAGAGACACTGACTATGGTCTAATGGCGAGAAAAAGGATGGGAACTTAGGAGGAATCCAGGTAGAAAGGGGCTTTGTGGGTTTGGGTTTTGTGGGGGTGTTTTGTTTGTTTTGTTTTTCTTTTTTTAAATACAGGAGAAGACATGATGTATGTTAGCACGTACAGAAAAAATGGTGTGAGTTTCCAGAGAAGGTGCAAGAGACAGGAACCAAAGGGACGTTACAGTGGGGGCTGGTCTTGGAGGGAAGACACTTTAAGGAGGTGGGAAGGGAAAAGAATGGCGGTAGTGACGGGCAAAGGTGAACGGACGAAGACCAAGGTCTCAGATGGCATCTGAGGGCACAGGAGCACTCTTTTGGTGAAACCTTTTCCTTTTCCCTCAGGCAAAATACGATGCTCATGAATTATAGGTAGATGTCAACCCTTGAGAGGGCGGCAGACTGGTTTAGAGCACAGGCAGGGCAAGGAAAGAATTCTTGGGAGTTGAGGCTGAGCCGGGAAACCGTGACACAGCAGCTCAAATGCAGAATAAGTTGAAGACTCTCATCAAGACACAGCTTCATTCAAAGTTAAAAAACCAAACCCAGCCATTGTGCAGTTGGCAGATATAATAAGTATGAGAGCCTAGAAGCTTAGCTCAACAGCTTCAGAACAGGGCTCTTTAAATCTGCCGCGGCTCATGTCTGGTGTAGGTAAGATACTTCAGGATTCAAAAATCAGAACCCAAGGTCCACGGTACAAAGTCTGGCTCCCCCCCCATTCTCTGACCTGCTTCTCTTGCTGTCCTGTATACCTTTTCAGTGTTTCTTTATTCACACACAAGTAATACAAGTATATATTCTTAGCTCACATCTTGGTTTTTTGTTTGTTTGTTGTTTACTTACTGTATCTTGGAGAGCTTTCCTCAGTCCACAAAGAGCTTCCTCTGTTTCCAGCTACCTAGTGCTTCTGCATGGAGCCGCACCACGGTTTCTGTGCCCGGTCCTGTACAGATGGACATCTGGGTTGTTTCCAATCTTTTCGCTCTTACAACCAATGCTGCAATGGCTAACCTTTTACATAAGTCATTGCATGGATCTACAAATGTCATCTACAGGGTGGATTCCTAGACTTGTCATTTCACAATCCCTCCAGTAATATCTGAGCGAGCCTGTTGCCTACTGCCCACCCCCTACCTCCAATCCCACCGAATGTGCTCTCAAACTTTGGAATTGTTGCCAACCAGATAGGTTACGATTGGTATCTCTGTGCACTTTTAACAAGCATTCATTTTTTGAAGACTGAAAGTAAGCATCTTTTCATATGTTTGTATTTCTTTTTTCGGTGAACTATGTGTTCGCGTGCTTAGCTCCTTTTCTCCATTTTGCTGCTGCAAAAGTTCTTAACCTTGGGTCTTTTTCAGAGGGTCTTGTGACTCCGATAAGGTTAAGATTTATGGGGTAAAAAGAACAGTCACCCTAATCCAATACATATCTTGGGTTATACATAGAGGTTTTGTTTTTAGTTTTTAAAACATTTTATTGAAATTAATACATATACAGAAAAATGTACCTATACTATGTGTTATAGCTTGATGAATTTTCACAAACTGAACACATTCCTATAACCAACATCAGATCAAGAAACAGTACTACCAGCACCCCAGTAGCTCTTCTCAATAATCCCTTCCTGTCCTCACCATTTACAGATTCTTTTCTTCTGTAGCTTTACTGGTTGATTCCAATTCTTGGCCTTGATACCTTCCTGATGTCATCATACAGTTTAAGGTGCAAAGTTGAATGAAAATTTGAGCTAGAAGGCAAGTGGTTCATAACTATCAGTCTTCAACAGTTCTGAAAACCCACTCTGCTCTGTAAAGGGGTTTAACCACACTTACCAGAATCTGCGATCCTCGCGCTCCCCCTGCTGGTGATCAATAGTTACCAGGAAAAGCCTCCCATCCCCGCTCCAGGCTCTGAGGATTGAGTCCTGGGACTCCAGCTGCTGCAGATTTAACCAGAACCAGTGCCTAGAGGGATAGAGTGAGGTCACTTATCAAGGCATCCCGAAATTCCCATTCCCTCCCCTTTCTGTGAGCCAATATTTGAGGGAGGCAACTATCAACTAACAGATCATGATAGCTTTGGGGGCTATGAATAGAATGACAGGAAAACACAGTTAATCTCCACTTCCCCACCTCTCGCCTATTCCTCCCCAAACAAGAGACTGCTGTGAATGGCCGTGCTGCTAAAATCAACTGTCAAAGGAGCCAAAAGCCCCCAGTTACAGGTCTCAAAAGCCAGTGGGGAGCTTCCCTGGTGGCGCAGTGGTTGAGAGTCCGCCTGCCGATGCAGGGGACACGGGTTCGTGCCCCGGTCCGGGAAGATCCCACATGCCGCGGAGCGGCTGGGCCCGTGAGCCATGGCCGCTGAGCCTGCGCGTCCGGAGCCTGTGCTCCGCAACGGGAGAGGCCACAACAGTGAGAGGCCCGCGTACCGCAAAAAAAAAAAAAAAGTTACCTTCCTATATAAATTGATTGCTTTTGAGTATAATTTGATGGAACTAGGTTTCCTCTGTTCAATCACCTATAAGGTTCATGTACCAAGAAGGAAGTATACTGTTAAAGGAATTTTACAGCTACCATAGCCTTCTGGTTAGATGGCATTACTATGTGCATTAAGTTCCTGAATATAGTCTCCACATAAGTTCAGGGCTTTTTCTTTGGCTGGAAAGATCCTGTGTCACTGATGTAGGAGCGCAGATCGGGCTTTTTGTTCCCTCAGGTCACGTTTTGTGGCTCCTCTCTCTCATTCTGTCACGAGGTACCACACAGTGAATCAGGCCTATATCTAATGACTTGAAATTTCTGGCCACATCAGGTAGTGTGAGTTAACAGACTTTATTCCCGAGAGGTTCTCGCCTTCCAAATACTCCCCGATCAATGAGCCACATCCTCAGCACCCAAGTTTATGATGGAGACATGCTTACCTAAAACAAAGTATTTTAAGACGTTTCAGTTTTTAGGATTTTAACGCTGTATGGGTGGAAATAAGGTAAAATGAAGAATTCACCAAAACTGTACGTACCTAGGAACTAACTAACCAGGAACTGTGTTAGGCTTTGGGAATTCAACTGATCTAGATACAGTCCTTGCCCTCAAGGATGTGTGGTTTTACCCAAAGGAATATTTTCAAATGACAGCTTAAAAACATGTATTTGGTCTTGATGAAATTCCCTTGGCATCTTCTGATGGAAAAAATGCACATTTTCCCTTTTTCTGGGCACACCACACAGCTTGTGGGATCTCAGTTCCCTGACCTAGGATTGAACCCCGGCCACGGCAGTGAAGGTACCAAATCCTAACCACCAGACCACCAGGGAAATCCCAATACTTTCCTGTTGCTTATTCTTTTATAAGAGGTGTTGAGAGATGGGCAGCAGTGGGTGACCAGGCTTTTGAGGCTGTTTAAATCCTGACTCAGTCACTTCCTAGCACTGTGTGACATAGAACTGGCGCTAGAACAAGATATCTAATATCTGAGTCCCAGTCATCCTCATCTGTAAAATGTGTAAAACCACAGGAATATTAAATGTGTGAACATGTGCATGGTACTACTGCATAGTACAGGGTAGTCATTATTAGCATCATTAGGTTTGATGTTGGAACTTCACAATTAACAGGACTTTTTCTTTCTTCTTTTTAAAAAATAAATTTATTTTATTTACTTTTGGCTGTGTTGCGTCTTCATTGCTGCACGCAGGCTTTCTCTAGCTGCAAGCAGGGGCTACTCTACGTTGCAGTGGCTTCTCTTGCTGTGGAGCACAGGCTCTAGGCACTGCGGGCTTCGGTGGTTGTGGCTCGCGGGCTCTAGAGCACAGGCTCAGTAGTTGTGGTGCATGGGCTTAGCTGCTCCGCGGCATGTGGGAGCTTCCCGGACCAGGGCTCCAACCCCTGTCCCCTGCATTGGCAGGCGGATTCTTAACCACTGCGCCACCGGGTAAGTCCCAATAGGTTTTTTTCATCCCTTGTCAGTTACTGAGCCTCTCCTATGAACAAGAAGGATTTAAAATGTTTTACCCGCGACATGCTTTAACAACCTTATCCAATGACCTGTAGATTCCATTCCCAGGCATGGGCCAGGCATTCCAAGATCTGGCTGTAGTTAAGTTGAATATACTAAGCTATTTTCAGCAGCCTATCTGAAATTAGGTGATTACAGCTATCTGAAATTAGGTGATTACAGCCTATCTGAAATTAGGTGATTACAGCTAAGGTATTGGGGAGTGGGAGGGTCAAGTTTTGGTTCAGGTGACAACCTCACACAAAGGTTGGGCCGTAACCAACTCTAGCCCATTCTACTGAGGAAAGCCATCTTTTCCTATAAAGCTCTGAGAAGGGCAGACGTGGAGCTGGGGCGTGGTGAGTGAGGAGGGGCACAGCTAGCGCAGCAGAACCAGTCTTGGTGTTGGAGGGAGTGGCAGCTTGTTGCTCAGCCCACCCCTTCTCTGCCTGCCATCTGAGCAACCGTCAGAGTCATACAAATGGAAAAGATCCCTAAAAATAACCTACTTAGGTGAACTGTCCAAAACTTTTTGCAAAATTTAGTATGCATGTGCGTTTCTCTGTCGAGGTGTTCTACAGTTCTCACCAGATTCTCAAAGGAGTCCATGCCTGAAAAAAACGAGATTCGCTGAAACAGTCCAAGGTCCTCACTTAACGGAAGGGAGAAAATGAGGCCCAGAGAGGGAAACGCAGTTGCCTCAAGTCAAACAACAGGCGTATTAAAGCGAAGGCATTTCAGTTCCAATTCCGGCGTCACGTTCACGGTCCTGACCGTGTCCAATACTTCCTTGCTTCTCTGCAGCCCTGGAAGATCCCCGGGAGTCCAGGGCTGGTGTCGGAGCCCTGGAGATGTCGCATGCCGTCCAGATTCGAGCATCGAGGAGGCTTGGGCCAAGCGCTCAGACGGGCTCCGTCGCTGTGAAAATCCCCCCACTCCGGCCTCACCCCAAAGAATTCCGCAGCCTCGCTGACTCCAGGTGGAGCACCAAGCACAGGGAGACACGGGGAAGTGGAGGCAGCTCGACAACGAAGAACAACGCCCACTCACTCACCTGACCGAGAGGAGGAAGCAGGCACACCCCAAAACCCGTTCCAAAGCGAATCCTTTGCGGAGGGCGGGACTAATGAAGAGAATAACAGGAACTGACGTCAGGAGCACGTGCTTCGCGAGGGGCGGGCGTCAGGCGTTTGAGAGGCGCGGCCATCGCCCCGCGCCTGCGCAGCCACCGCCTGCCGCGTTGCCTAGTCACTGGGGTGGGAGGAGCACGAACAGGGGGCGGGGAGCGTGTCTGAGTGACGCAGGCGCAGTGCGACTCCGGAGGCGCGGGTCGCCCCCTCCGTGGATTTAGATCCGGGTCAGTCAGGCGCCGCGATCGGGGAGAGACGATCTGAAGTGACCGGACTGGCTCACCGGAGCGCCCCTGGCGCGAGGAGGTGCGTGCCCAGACGTGACGGGGAGGCGCTGCGGCACCGCGTCTCGGCCTCCAGGCCCGGTCTGGCCACGGGCGGCTTCCTCTGGGCCGTCCAGCCTCGCGTCGCGTTGTTCCCCCGGCGCTGGCTGCCTGGGCCGGGCAGGGCCTGCGCTTCTCCGCGCCCCCTCCGCTGCTGCGGCCTGGCCCTGCCCGAGCTCCGCTCTCTCGCCCCTTCCCGCCCCCGCTGCTCCCGCCCCGTCCCTCGCCTCCGCCCTCTCCCTCTCGTCCGTAGCTTCCCCTTTTCGCCTTTCTCGGCCGCCCTTTGCCCTTTCCCGCCCTTTCCCGCTAGTTCCTGAGCCCCAGTCTCGTTGTGTGCCTCTTCGGCTATGCTCCCGCCTCCTCCTGCATCCCTTGCCTATTGGCCTGACCCAAGTCTCTCATTCTGGCCCGGGGAGTATCCTCAAGGAGCAGCTTTCCAACGGGAGACCCCGGGCGGGCACAGCTAGGGCCCTGGACAGCTCCCCTTTCTCCGAACCCCCCAGGTCCCGACCTTTTCCCCCATGTTTAAGCACGACCGATCCAGTTTCTGGGTAAAAAGAATTAACATAGTGCTCTTGCACCTAGAGTGTAGGGGTTGAGTGAGTAGAGAGAAGCGTGAACGTGTTTTGTCTCGGGGGCAGATTGTTGCAACTTAGTCTGGTTTGCGTCTTCCAGAGTTGCTGGACGCGATTTTCTTCCCCGGATTCCACGCTTCCTGGTGGGCAGGGAAATTTTCTAAATCTTTAACATTGTGATGACACGCTTGCGCGCAGATCCTTTATTGATCGTGCTCAGCTCTTTTCAGGGTCCTGGAAATTTGGACCTAGGCTTGAGGTTCAAAGAGGTATTGGTTAAAACTGCAAGATGTAAATAAGATTGTGAGACATACTCTTCGTTGAAAGTCAGAGAAAATCCGGAATTTGCCCTTTTGTTGGAGGAACTTAAAAGAATTTTGTGTTTTCTGAAAGGTTAGGGAAAATCCGAGGCCCCTTGTGATTTGACTTAAAACAAAGTAGAAGTTTGATCTTTGGGGGGATTGTTCAATTTCAAGAAGTTAGAGCAGTAAAAACTGCAAGATGCCTCCCACAAATTTAATATTAATGAAGAAGGGCAAATCATGTACATGTTTCCCGGAGTTAGTTGTACAGCTCTTGAGTTGAGTGAATGGGAAGCTGGGAAGAGGGAGGAGCATAATAAGCCTTTTTGTAATTACAGACATGCTCTGATTTAGCTCTTACGGTCATGCCTAAGATTCACCTTTGCCCTGGGTTAATATAACTGAGGGAAAAGGTGAGTAATCAAAATGCTGGAAGTCTGAGACTAGTTTAGTTGGAACTTCATTCCTAAAGTTTTACTCTGTAGCCAGTTTTATTTTGGTCTGTTTTGGTTTTTAACTGATGGATCTTTTAGTGTGTCAACAAGAATGTTAGCTAAGTTTGTGTTAACATCTAGAGGTCACCTACAGTAATGTTAAGTTAACACTGTGTAATTAAAAGTTCCATGTTTGGGTGCAGAGCATCTTAGCACAGTGTTAGGGTAGGAATGAGATTCCAGTCCTTACAGGAATAGGGTTCACAGTCCTGGTGTCAGGTTCTCCCTTGTATCTCCCTTGTATCCCCGTATTCTTCAGCAGGAAGAATTTGTTTATAGACTACAGAAGCACCCTTTTAGATGCTGTGGAGCTTCAAAAATAATAGAATATGTGATCTTTGCTCACCCCTCTCCCCAAGTATATAGGACATTATTGTGTATCTGGGAGAGGGTCCTCCTCTGAATCCTGAAGAATTAGGAACCAGTGAAATGTGGAACTCATAATGTTTCCTCAAATTGATGTACTGGTTAAGTAAACCAGCAAAATACATATGGGGAGTGTATTTAAATTTTTTGTCTTAAGAAGTTGAGGTGAAAGCTAGCTGAATTCTTTTGAGACTGTTTTCAGTGCTCCCCAGAGAGATCTGCCTAAAATACCTTCTACACATTAATAAATGAAACAAATAGTCTTGATCACTTGCTTCTTAATTTTGCCACTGGTACTACATGGTTACATTATATCAAACATGTTATGACACCGTGACCTGTAGAATATTAGAGGTCTCACAATAACATCAAACCCACCCCTGAGAAATGAGCAGATACAGAATCAGAGAGGATCCAAGGATCCACAGAGAGGCACTGCTCCCTCTGAGAGTGCCTAAGGGCACTCTAGAAATAGAGAAGGTAAAGTGAATTCTTTGCTTCAAAAATTCCCCATCTTATATTTTTTGTTTTACTTTTTTTCTTTCTGATTCCCTGTGATATGTTTATAGAGACTGATTTATGCTTTGTTCAGGATGTGGTATTAAGAAATTTTTTACCCTGAGTAAAAAAAAATGGGAGACTAGAGTCAAAGAATTTATTAACTTCTCTATTGTATCTCTTGTTGCTTTGGTTGGTCTCTCTCCCGTCTTTTTTTTTTTTTTTTTGGTTTAAATATAAAAATCAGGGTAGAAGAAATGGAGAACTTTTGTTAATCAAGCTAGTTGATTAAGTGGAGATCATTTAAAGGCACATCTATAGAATAATTTCAGTTTTTTCCTTTACTTTCTACCTCTTTTTTGTTTTAAGTTTGTTTTTGAGTTGCAAGTATAGTTCATCTATTCTTGTAAGAAAGTATTTGAAGCTAAAGAAAAGAAAGGTTGAGTGTGGAGTAAGCAGTATCATTGAAACTTGTTTGCAATCCTGCCTTAGTAATGGTAACATCTTGATACGTGGGTATGAATATTAATATGAGTATAAACATTGATATCTGGGTCAGGATTGCTTTAGAGAAATGTTATCATGTGTCACAAAGTTATTCTTACCTGAAATGTTTAGAGCTGGATGAGACAAACACTCAGTAGTGTTTTTTGTTTTTTGTTTTAAGTAAATTTATTTATTTATTTTTGGCTGCGTTGGGTCTTCGTTGCTGCGCGCAGGCTTTCTCTAGTTGCGGTGAGCAGGGGCTACTCCTCGTTGGGCTTCTCATTGCAGTGGCTTCTCTTGTTGTGGAGCACAGGCTCTAGGCGTGTGGGCTTCAGTAGTTGTGTCATGCAGGCTCAGTAGTTGTGGCACATGGGCTCAGTTGCTCCGCAGCATGTGGGTTCTTCCGGGGGCAGGGCTCGAACCCATGTCCCCTGCATTGGCAGGCGGATTCTTAACCACTGCGCCACCAGGGAAGTCCCCTCAGTAGTGTTTTAAAGCTCAGAGTCCTATATGTTGAGCTTTTCCCTTATATTTCTGATGTAGAGGTCATTTTGTCTGTAGGTTTCTAGACTTCTACAACTGGAGAGATTTCACCTCCTGTTAAAAAGTATACTTAAACACAGATTTTAGGTGACGTAGTTTCCAAAACTGTGTAATAGGATATTGGCATCAAGTATTTGGACAGTTTAAATTCCATCATAATAAATATACTTTTTCTGTATTATTTCATTCTCTTAAGAAATAAAACCTACAGTTTCCTAGTCATTGAAACTTCCTTTTAGAAGTAGAAATTTGCTTTTTCTCCCCCTAACAAGCAATGGTAGTATCAGGAATATAGATTTTAACAAAAGTATATGTTTGAACTCACCTGTTTTCACTTTGTTCATTTTATTTTCTTTTTAGTATTAACGGGAACATCCATAGTAGTGTAAAACTTTCACAATGAAATCTGAAGCCAAGGATGGAGAGGAGGAGAGTCTACAAACTGCTTTCAAGAAATTAAGAGTGGATGCATCAGGGTAATTAAATATGGAATATATTATTGGGGAATTGTTTACTAGATTTAAATAGACATTTCCTCAGGGGAGCTCTTTCTCTTCTAAAATTTCTTTTTATTTGTAGAAGGTGTCAATGTTAATAGTGTGACATTTTACCAAATTCTGTACAGCATTGTTTTACTTATAAAAGAAACTCTTCTGTTACATTTTGAAAAGTAGATGCTCATTTGTACTCCAAGGCTGGGGGTTCTTCTTAACTTTGAGGAGGGTTCCCCTTCCCCCTCCCCCCACCTCTTTTTAATCAAACATTAGGCAGTGTCCCATCAGAGAGTTCCTCATATATCTCTAGGGAATCACAGTATTTTTCACTAAAAGTGAATTGGCTCAATAGGAATCTCTGCAGACATTGTGATTTCATGGGCTCTGATTGCTGACCCTGTTACTATGGAAACCTGTTCATTAGGGTTCTGTCACTGAGATCAATAATCTTGGACCCTTTGGCCAAACTAATTAGAGCACCTGCAGACCAGCTGCTGTCTGAATGTTAATATTTCACCCTTTGCAAAATGTTCTATGCAGGACTCTTTTCATCCCCCTTCTTTGCCCCAGGCCAGAAGAAATCTCAAAGTTTTAATGGATATAAGAATATTTCATTTCATGAATGGAAACTGAACACTCCACAGCAAGGAGTAAATAATGATTGCTCAAATTTATTATTCATTTACTATGCCCTAGACACTGGCTTAAGTACTCTGTACACATCGTCTAATCCTTACTACCAACTTAGAAGATAGATACTACAGAGTATACTATATAGTTTACAGAGGAGCTACAGATGAATTAAGTCACTTGCAAAAGGTCACGTTGGTAAAAAGTGGTAGAGCCAGGATTTGAACCCAGACAGTTTATCTCCAGAACCTCTGCTCTTAACCATTCCTTTATATGGTACCTTGAAGACAACATGAAGAAATGCATTCGGTACCTGGTGCATGTAAAATTAAATAGTTGTTAGTTGTCGTTATAGCTGTCTGCTTATTGCTAGTACTATTTTTGGCCTACCAAATGAGAGAATTTATGCTAATAGATTTGCACAGTAGCTGTTACAGGTGCTTACATTTGCTTCCGTGATACTTCAAATAAGTATCTTCTCCTAGTGATTTTCCAATATGGTCATCTTGCCATTAGAATTGA